ATGGGGGCTGGAGAGATGGCTCAGCAGTTAAGAACACTGTTCTTGTAGAAGACCCGGGTTCAATTCGTAGCGCCCACATGGCAGCTAACAACTGTTTGTAATTCCAGGGGATCCGACAGCCTCCTCTGTCCTCCGCAGGCACTACATGACATGGGTGCACTTGCCTACATGCAGGCAATACACATATACACATAAAATAAAAGTAATAAATAAAATAAAATTAAAAAAAGAAAAACAACATGGAAAGTCTCTAAGAAATTAAAAAAGGAAGTATCATATGATTCAGCAATCCCCCTCCTGGGCACGTAGCCAGAGGAAATGAAATTAGTAGGTTAAAGAGACATCTGTGTGCCCATGTTCAATGGAGTGCTATGCACAGAAACAACCTAACTGTCCATTAATTGATGAAAGATAAAATTTGAGATATAATGAATCACTATTTAGTCATTAAAATGAATAAAATATGGTCATTTGCAACAACACGGATGGAGCTGGCAATCATTACACCAAGTGAAATAAGCAGGTTCAGTTCCTAGCATTCACATGGTGGCCAACAGTTGTCTCTAGTGATCTGATGCCCTCTTGTGTCCTCTATGGGCATTGCAAAACATGAGTACACTTACACGCATGCAGGCAAAACACTCATACACAAAAAATTAAAGTAAAAATAAACTCAAACAAATTTTCTTTAAAAGACATATTTAGACAAAGGGAGCCAGCAGCTTCCACCCCAGAAGGCCAAGTTGGTCCAACCAAGCCCTAGATGGGATAGTTCCTGGTGTACATGATAACAATGCTCTTTCTGTATGCGATCAGATCATTGTGGACTAAAAGTTGCTAAAGTTGTCATTAGGCAAGTACTTCCTTGAGACTGAAAGCAATAAAGAGGGTCAGCAAGATTATCCAGTGGGTAAAGGGGCTTGCTGCCAAACCTGACGATTTCAATTTGATCCCTGGTACTCACATGGTAGAAGGAGAGAACTGACTCTTGCCATTGTCCTTTGACCTCCATCCATGTGCTATGACACATGCATGAATGTGTGAGCACAAACACACACACATACACATACACACACACACACACACCCCATAAAAAAATTTAAAAACAATAAAGAGAAATGGAAAAAGCAGGTATGTGAGCAGGTCTGACTTTGTTGTGTCTTCAAAATGTCTATACTCAGTCACACCTGAAGGCCTTTGATTTAAACAGTTTTATGAGTCAATGCATTCTTTTAATTTCAGTTATACTATGATTTTCCCCTCCTTTCCTCCCTCCTTTCCTCTCTCCTTTCCTCCATTTCTCCCTTCCTCCTTCCCTCCTTCCTTCCTCGCTAAAATGGGAATCAAATCCAGGACCTCCTGCTTGCCAGGAAAACACCTGCCATTGAGCCTCAACTCCATTTTTATTTATTTTTATTTTTAGATAAGAGCTCAGTAAATTGCCCAGAGCAGCCATGAACTCATTGTGTAGCCTAGGCTGGCCTCAAACTTGTAATCCTCTTGCCTCGGCCTTCTGGATGCTGGATTACAAGCATGTGTTACCACCCCTGCCTCGTGACTTTCAACTGAATTAAAATTCTTTAAAATTATTTATTTTAATTTTATGAGTATGAGTGTTTTACCTGCATATATGTAGATGCACCATGTGCATGCAATGCCTACAGAGGCCAGAAGAGGGCACTGGATTCCCCTGGAACTGGAGTTACAGATAGTTGCTAGCCATCATGTAGGTACTGAGAACCAAACCCAGAATCTCTGTAAGAGCAGCAAGTGCTCTTTACTACTGAGCCATCCAGTTGTGAATCTTCTTCTTCTTCTTCTTCTTCTTTTTTTTTGGTGTCTGAGTTGGGGAATAGATACATGGGTGCAGACACCCACAGAGGATGTCAGATCCTCTGGAGCTGGAGTTACAGGCAGTTGTAAGCTGGTCAATGTATGCTGGGAACTGAACTCAAGTCCTCTGAAACAACAGTATGTGTTCTTAACTACTGAGCATCTCTCTAGGCCCCAACTGAAAATGATCTTAAGGGGAACAGGTACAGCAAAAGTTGAAGGGAGAACATCCCCAGGAGATGAAACAGTAACCATGAACTATAGCTTTTACAGAAGTAAAAGCAATGTCTTATGCAGTCAGGATCTAGAAGAGGTGAGGAGACCTTTTAGTACTTTAAAGGAGACACAGTGACATTTAGGCAAGTATTAAAATAGAGAAATCACCTTTGGAAGTGTCATTCACTCTGGTCTTCTGGACAATGTATTACCAACCATACCCTGTCATCAACTTTTCTCAGGAGGACAGTGATGTCTCACTTAAGAGATGCTTACTATGAAAATGACTGCAAGCTGTTTCTAGTCTACTATAATTATGACTTAAGTTTAATGCAACATGACATTTCCATAGCAAACATTTATTAAGGCGTGGAATGAGAAATAAGCCTAAAATCTTCCTAGATTTTCTCCACCCTGCTGAACCTCTGTGAGTACTGGGTAAGAGGCCAGTGCTTTCTTCATGCCATCTAGTCTCTTGACTTGGAAATACTTCAGCTGATATAATGTTTTGGTCCACTTTTCAAAGGAGCAACAAAGAGCTGTCCCTTGTTCTGGTTGTAGAGTCACGCTGCCATGCAGCAATCAAAGTAACCCATTAACAGAGAATTCTCTGCTTTGCTCATATGACAAACATCAGTGGATATCTCTCTGGGAATTCAGAGCTGGCAAGTAGGGGTGAGCTGAGCTGCCTGCTAGCAGGGTAAACCAGGTTCTGTTGATGCTTTGTTTTAGCAGATACCAGAAGTAGTGATTATAGCGCACTTGGGTTTTATACGGATCACCACTGTACTGACAGTCAGTTAAATCACTCACTGGGTGGAATAATCACCCTGAAAGCAACTGAGAGGGCGCAACTTATAAAATGAAACTGAGCACATGAGACAGTGCTAATGGTTGTAGTAGATGAGATCTTCTCGTCAGAATAACAGAGATGATTAAAGACATGAATTGGACATCATCTCTACTGGGTACTCTTAGTGATGTGAACACAACAGCTAAATTGTGCAATTACAAAGTTAAGTGTAACTCAGAGAGCATCTTTCTTCTTTAGAAAACATTTGATGCCAAGTTAGCCTGTCTGAATCACTCAGTGACTTGCTTTAGAGATTATGAACAATCTTGTCTTGTGAAATCCTTTGAGAATGGACAGACTAGAAATCTGGAATGCTATTCCACTTGAGATAAGAAAATGTGTTGTGAAATATGAGACTGATGGTCCACCAAGAAGAGAAAATTCTCTCTAAACATTACTGAGAAATATACCTGCATTCACAGGAGCCCAAAGAAACCAGTAAAAGAGGCACCTGGTTCCTTTTCAGAGCTGTTTGCAGTTCGAAAAGAGAAAATTAGTTCTGATTTTTTAAGAGGGAAGGACAGCACCGTGGATCTGGGAGAAAAAGGAATAATTTCAGCCACTGCTTGTGAAAGAAGTGTGATGATGGGACATGAAGTTGGATGGCCTTTCACAGATCACCCTTTATGCAGAGTCTGCTCCAATGTAATACCGTGCCCAAACTACCCTTAATAGGTACACACATCTTCTATTCTTACAGTTCTGAGAATGAACATACATAATTTTATAATTAGATAAAATAAAGGTCTAAAAATAAATATGTAAATAAAAAGCAGCACTTTAAGAAATTTCTAAAGCAGATGATATTCTAGCAGCACACTCCTGTCCCTTTTCCCCACTCCACACAGCCATGAGGAGAGGGACATGATCAACACAAGACAGCAGAAATAGGAACCTTCAAGTGACCTTGAAGACTTGGACTATATTTCAAGAGACAAGTTACCACTGTGAATTTCGCCTACTCCTTTTTCATTTCTAGGCTGGAATTGTGGTTACTCAAGAAATAATAATTCTCAAAGGATGGTGATAATAAATAATTCATGCTGAAGTTCACAATCCCAATAAACATAAGTAGTTCTTTCTAATGGTCGTCTGATGGCTAAGCTTAATACGAAATTTGGATGTGATCTAGTTGCTTTCTTTTTCCTGCTATTTTTTTTTTTTGTCATTCTGTTTTCACTTCTCCACTCACACATCTAAACTTGCTTTGTCCTTTGTTCCTTCTTCACATTGAGTTTTTCCTGGCCTCTAACTACACCATGCACACTCTGGAATCAATGCCTTTTAAAAGGCATTAGGGGCTGGAAAGGTGGCTCAGCAGTTAGGAGTGCTTGCTGCTCTTGCAGAGGACCTGTCTTGGGTCCCAGCACCCGCAGGACAGCTCGTAGCCAAGTGTAACTCCAGTTCCAGGGATCTGACACCCTCTTCTGGCTTCTGCAGGCACTGGGTATACATGTGATGCACATACATATATGCAGGCACCTACATACACATAAAATAAATAAATCTATATAAAAAGCACTTATTCCATAGTTATTATGTGCCTTAAAGTCTTCTAAATATTTTTCTCAGAACCATTGGTCTTTGATAGAAAAAGGGTAAAAAATTATTTCATACCTTATTCCTTAATGTCCTTGAAATTGTTGCCCCTCAGCTAGCCCGTTTTATGAACAGTTGTCATCCTTATTATTTCTACTTTCTAAACCTTAATCACTTTTATTATTCTCTTTTTAGATACTTTTTATTAGCTTTTATCAAGTTAAAGAAAGAATGTGGCCATGTACTCGGCTGAGATCTGAGAATTTCTGCCTGGGAGAAGTTGTTGGAAGGACAAAGGAATTGCTTTCTGTTCTTGAGATTTTGTGTTTCTAGGGTTTAATATGAAGCCACATTAACATGAGTCTTTCCTGGCTTCTCACAACCCAGGCAGGGGAACCAGATTAGTTCTTCCTCAGAATCTCCAAGTAAGAGAGATGCAACACAAACAGAATTCCAACACAGATCTGACAGCTCCGGCCATGCTCTGTCTGATGAGAGGTGTGCACACATTTCAAATGAAAGCATTCAGACTGGCTCCTGTCCCCTATAAGGAACTTACTCTGGGATGTAGAAAGATTGGAGAAGGCTGACTTTGTTCGGCCTGCCAGCCATTCCAGGCTTTCATGCATGTTGGCCAAGGCTTTGAGGTCACTGACGTCACGGAGGATGTCTTGCGGAGGGATGAGTTTGTCACCAAGGTTCCCAATTAGAACTTCAGACTCCTTGCTAAAGGCTGCCCTGGAAAACAAATCAGAAACATCCTCAACTACTGCTTGGTAAGGGCTGGGGTGGGATTCGTGTAGTGACAGCTGTAATCGCTATTTTACAGCATGTTCTTTTCCCAAGGTTTGGCTTTGGGAGACAACTATCACAGGACTGCTTAGCATTGATCTGCTAGGGAGAAGTTCTTGGAGGAAGAATGAAGTGACCACAATGATCATACTTTCAGTAGGAACTAGCCTGGGAATGAATTACACAGGGAGAATTCTGGGGGAGAGCTTCTAGCTCGCTCTCTTGTGGGTTATTTCCTTGCTTCCTCTCTAGCTGTGGAAGTTGAGGTGACAAATACATACAGGCTTTTCAGCTTATTGTAGTAAATATAAACAACCAAGTTAATCTGGTGGCTAGAGTATATCTTAAAACGTTTACAAGTGAAGAAGTCTGTCTCTTTAAAAAGTTACAGCTGACATGGAGAGAGGAGGGGGAGAGAGGAGAGGAAGGGAGGGGGCAGAGAGGGAGGAGGAGAGAGAGGGCAAGCCGACTAGAGGTGGTCAGGAGTGAAGTTACACATAGTGCATAAGCAGAGCTACCGCTGGAGGGAGGGTGAAAGAGGCACCTAGAGTTTTTCCAAGTCCAAGGCTTTTAAAATTCAAACACACCTCGGTGAGCAGACGTGAGGGCTTTATCTAAGTGGAACAACCCAATTTAAGTTTGGAGCAAGCATTGGACAGTAACATGTGAAATGCTGCCAGGACGATGCTGCACTGGACACACAGGCATTTAAGATCCAGCACCAGAGCAGATGTTCAATGTGGTATAAAGTGCTGCTGTAAATTAAGTACTTATTGAAAGTGTTTATGATACCAAGTCATGATGCACGATTAACCTTGTCTCAACAGAGGGTTACCCCTTTAAAAAGAAAAGTCACAGAGATTGGCTTATTTGGGTGATTTGTGGCTAAAGGGGCAATAAAGCAGAGTGGGCCAGCACACAAAGAAGCTGGCGTGAGCTGGCAAAGGCAACATGGGGTCTGGGGAAAAAAGGTGCTGGGGTGACTCCCCAAATAACACATTTCTAACTAGTTTCCAAGTGATGCTTGGGAAAAGTCAGGAGACCCAGGCATGAAGCTCAAGTTTGCTGCTTGCTCATGGTGGGCTGCTTAATTTTCCTGTGCAGTCATCTATGGGTAATGACATTGACCTTTACTCAAGTGATGTGAGGAGTAGATAAGGTGATTCTGAAAGCTTTTTATTGGGCAATAATAATTGTGAAAGTAGAGAGGGGACCAATAGCAAGTCACCACATGGCATTCCTGGTTCCATCAGCAGCAACTCATGGTGATTTGTATTTCCTCTCTTCTCATCACCCACCTAGGAATATTTATGTGTATAACACAATGCTTAGGATTTAGTAAAAACTATGAAGTTGCAGGTAGTATTATTCTTAGGTCCATTGACATGGCTAGTTATTTAGAGTCAACCCAAGCTATATGATGATGAGTAACTTCACTTAGGTGGGGGTGAAGAGTGGGGAATGAGTCTCAATTGTTTTCGCAAATGGAAACTTCTAGTACTGTAGTTACTGTACAGGTGAATTATTGTGAGAGAAATCACTAGTTTCCTACCTAGTGCTCATTATCCCAGTCCTGCCTGGTGAAAGGAACTTAACATTGTTGGAGTTGGCAATGTGCCCAACATAAAAACAAAATGAAACAAACAAGAAAAGACCCGCTACATCTGCATCCTGGTTGCAGACATGGCAGCTAGTGCCATGTGATCCAAAATCAGATCAGCTTAGGAGACAGCTCTCTGGGGTAATCTTGCTTGGCAGGGACCACTTCCGCCTACTCTTTTTCTGGCACACAGCCATAGCAACTGAGCTGCAGCAGCTTTTCTCAAACACCAGGTGACCTTGAGAGTGCAAGTCACTGCTGAGAATAACGGAGCCCCAAGATATGAGGGCACCAGCAGACTCGGGACATCACGGGCCGCCCTGCAGTCCAGTCTGAGACAATATGCTTCTGGGCTACACATCAGAGGAGAGAAACTGAAGTCCTCTTTGTTACTGTTAGTAGCTGCTAAATGCAATTCTTAACTGACATGATCATTTAATTAGCATAAATGATGTCATCCTCAGAAAACTTTCTCTGAATTTAGATGCCCTTAAAATCTCGTTACTGGGAAAAGCAAAACTAAGTCTCCTTCACAATTTGAGACCAGAATACATCTATAATATTTTCCCTTGGGCTGTCACTCAGTCATGTTGTAAATAATTAGTTTTCTTAACATGTCCTTATGAATCAACTCTTCCAGTCCCTAATCATCTTTGATAGATATAATGCAAAAAAAAGTCTCTGAGCTGGGTGGTTAAAAAGCAACAGGGGAGACAAATAGCTTTGTAAGCCAGGCTTGGAGCCATTTTTATGCATGTAGGGCTAACCCTGGGTGGAATGTGACAATCAAGACAAATGTATTTATGGAAAAGTCTAATCCATGCATGTGGATCTGTGGGCCCCAGGCATGTCTGTGCTGTGCTTCCAGCGCTGGATGCCAGTCTCACTTCCCTCTGGCTCACTGAGATTTGCTTAACCTCCTCAGACAGGAGAGCAATAGACTGAGAAAAATACAAACTGCCTCATGTTGAATACATAGTAGACATCTCATTTGACAGGAATCCATAATAACCGCCTAACAACCTGGAGAAGCACAGAAACCATGACGTGGAGAATAACTGATTGACAGCTATAACCATTTCACACACAAAATCATTCCTTAGAGGATTTACGAGTGGTGAAAGAGCTTGGCGGAAGAGTTCTGTGTGTTACAATAACCTTAGTGCAAGGTAAGGTGCCCGACTACAGATTTAGCTTCTAAACTCTTGGACGTATTAAATTATAGCATAGGTACGTTATGAAAGCAGCAGAGTCCTAAGAAATTATTCAGGGTAGGCTGCTGAGTATCATAGAAAAATGTTTGGTGTAGCTTATTTTTGACCATGATATGCAGTGGGGTAAAATAAACTACTATTACATTGTGCACACTAGGACAGTAACAGAATAATTATGAATATGGATGGAAAAAAATGCTGGATGTCTATATAACAAAATGTCAACCTGGCCATTCTTTTGCACTTTTCTGTAATTCCCACCTTTTCTTCAGTGACTAGGAGAAGATATTCAAATAGGAATTCTAAAAATCCCGGGAAGACAGACAGGAGGACATGGGAGTCACAGACTCCCAGTAGATGGGTGTTCAGTTTATAGCCAGTCTTGAGTTGTGTCTCCAGCCTGCTAACGATACAGCCAATGTTCCTGGAGAATATCTCAGAACTGTAAGTTGTCTACCTACATCTAGACCAGAATTATTTCCTCTTTCTAGATTTGAATGTTTACACAGTCTTTATCTTCTGCTTATTTTGAAAGTACATTATTTAATGAAGACATTCCACATTTTTGAATGCCACAAGCAACAGGATAATTATGTGGAGAAGGTGAGGTAATAGAAACTCAGAAGTAACAGGCCCCATTCACTGGCCAAAGATTATATGACACAATCAGGGACAGAAAGCAGAAGTCACAAGGTATAGGTTTTAGGAACTGAACCCTTGGAAAGAGTCCCCTTCACAGCCATCTGGCCAACAAGCTGACAGAAGCCTATAAAACTAAAGAAGTACGTTAAGCCTCTTAAGCTTAAGTTTTACCACACATTTTTTTTTAATCTTTAAAGAGCTTGATCTGACAAGAATTCATTTAAGAGAATTTTGCCAAGAGTGTTAAACCTGTTTAACTTAATTTTACCACACAATTATAATCTTCAAAGAAGTCTATCTGACAAGAATTCATTTCAGTGAATTTTGCAAAAGATGCACAAAATTGTCTCTACTTAACAATTTTAAATAATTCTGTTATCTACTGGAAGGAAGGGGGAAAAAACCTGTATTTTCAGCAGACTACATGGAATTATGAAGGAAATATGTTTCAAAGCAACAGATTTGCAGAGCTGGGCAGTATCAGATCACAGATCACAGGGCACATATCCATAATCTCTCTCTCTCTTTCTCTCTCTCTCTCTCTCTCTCTGTCTCTCTCTGTCTCTCTGACCTTTACCACTGCTTCCCACTGAACACTGAACAAATCTGTGTCTATGAAACTACCTAGTCTAGGGAACTCATATAAATGGCATCATACTATGTTTGTGCCTGGTTTATTTCACTTACAGTGTTTTCAAGATTCATTTTGCTGTAGTATATAACAGAAATTCTTTATTTTTAGGCTGAATAATATTCTACTACATATTCATATCCTGTTTTGTCAATCCATTCATCTCTTGATGGTCAGCTGGGTTGCTGCTATGAGCATTGATATAGTATTTATTATAGTCCCTGCTTTATATTCTTTTGGGGTATGTACCTGGAATGGAACTGCTGGATAATATGGCGATTCCACTTTAATCTTTTGAGGAACAGCCAGTTGCTTTCTGAAGTGGGTTAACCATTTTATATTCCTACTAACAATGTATAAGGGTTCCAGTTTTTCTATGTCCTTGTCAAAATTTGCTATTTCCTGGTTTTTGTTTCTTTGCTCTTAAACAATAACTATCCTTATGGGCGTGAAGTAATATTTCCCCGTCTATTTTACAGGAGCAGCACTGGAAGCAGTTTATTTCCAGTGTAGTTGAGAGGTCACCGGATATGCTGAATGACTTGAAATGGAGGCTGTGGAGAGCCCATACTCAAAATAAATGCAATGACTGATGAGACTTGGAGTGTCCACTGCAGGAGAAAAGGAAAGCATGCCTTCACATGATGAATAGTCACTCTGTATTGACCAGAGCAAGAACTTCTAAGATACGAGTATTCGGTAAGGGTGGGTGCAGAGCAACCAAGGGGTAGACCTTTAAAATCCAACTGCTTTGTTCTAGATCCACCATTTCTTCCCTTTCTCTGGTTCTGATCTGGGTTCTGGAAGTGGAGTCTAACCCTTGCTGGCTGTTCTCCAGGCTCCCAGGACTGGACAATGA